AAGGGTTTAGGATACATTCATAAACCCATAGAAGGGTTTAGGACACATTCATAAACCCATATAAGGGTTTAGGAAACACACATAAACCAGTGCAAGGGTTTAGAAAAAGTTCATAAACCCTTGCAAGGGGTTTCGAGACAGTGAACCAAAATGGCTCACAATCAAGACAGGTTATGAGGCGTCCTGCTTCAGCGTGTCCCAGTTTCTGCTTCCAGACGAGCAATTGACTTGAAGTTGTGTCTTTATCAAGACTGAGAAACTGCACATGTTCTCTAAAACGAGGAATCTATTCAAAGTGACTTCGACGAACCAGAATGGAAAAGTTAAGAGAGCCAAGTATAGCATGAATGATGCTACACCTGACAATTTCGACTTTTCTGTTCTGCTTCAACGAACCCACTTTGAATACACTCTTCGTTTTGTAGGACATGTACAGTTTCTAAGTCTTGACACAGACATAACTCCAAGTCATTTGCTCGTCTGCAAGCGGAAACTGATACACACTGGAGCAGTAAGCCCCAAAATCTGTTGTTCTCGATCCTTTTCCATTTGATGTTACGAAGGATCTAAACATAAAAAGAAAAATATTCAAAACGATAAAGCTTACTGCTTACTTTTCACAACTATGCCATAGAGCTGGACCAAAATTCACATAACACTGCATACCCAATTTTGAATTCGTCGTTTCTCTTGATAATAATGTTCAATAAAAATGTTTTCAAAGAAAAAATGAATTTCTCGTTCAAAGTTAATTTCCAATACTGCAAAACAATTTAATAATAATGAAGTTAAAATAACTCTTTCTAAATTTTCCTGAAACTCACCATTACCTTTTCCCGAACATACACCATAACACAAAAATAATAATTTTGAAAAAAACATTTTGCAAATGTAATAATGCTGGACTTCATTTCGCCTAAACAAAGAAGCTAACGTTTAAAATCAACTTTTCATTACCTAATAATATTCAATTTAATTTCATCTACAAGAAAGGAATATCGGAACTTTAAAAATGCATTTCTTCTTCCATAAATAATTTTCTATTGTCCCTCATCTGAACAAAAGAATTTTTTAAATTGACTTTTTCTTACTCATTCATATTGAAGTTAATTGCATCTAAAGAAAAAAGGATAAAAATCTATACAGCTATTTTTGACTTACTTAAAAAGGTGTGGATCGTATTTTATATGAAGAATAAGAATAATTTTTAAAATTGATTTTTCTTACCTATTCATATTGAAGTTAATTGTATCTGAAGAGCAGAAAATTTTTTTCAATCCATTCGTCTTAATCTAATGACATTCAAGTTCATTCAATCTAAAGAAAGAAAAATAATAATGTGCAAAAGTAGTTTTCACTTACTTAAAAAGTATCAACTGCCTTTTATCTAAAGAAATAAAATAATATTAGGTTAATCTCTGCTTACCTTTTCATATTGGAGTTAATTGTATGCGAAGAAGGAAAAATGTTTTTTGAATCGATTGTTCTTAATCTAATGATATTCAAGTTCGTTCTACGTAAAGAAAGAAAAAGAATAATGTACAAAAATAGTTTTCACTTACTTAAAAAAGTTTCAATCGTCTTTTATCTAAAGCAGTAAAAAAAATATTAGGTTAATTTTTGCTTACCTCTTCATATTAAAGTTCATTGTATCTGAAGAACAGAAAATTTTTTCAATCCATTCGTCTTAAGCTAATGACATTCAAGTTCACTCAATCTAAAGAAAGAAAAAGAATAATGTACAAAACCAGTGTTCACTTACGAAAAAAAGTATCAATCGCCTTTCATCTAAAGAAATAAAAAAAGTATTAGGTTAACTTTTGCTTACCTTTTCATATTAAAGTTAATTGAGTGTGAAGACGGAAATGTTTTTTGAATCAATTGTTCTTGATATAATGATATTTAAGTTCATTTTATCTAGATAAAGAAAAATAATAATGTACAAAACTAGTGTTCACTTACTAAAAAAGTATCAATCGTCTTTTATCTAAAGAAAAAAAAAAATAATATTAGGTTAATTTTTGCTTACCTTTTCATATTAAAGTTTATTATATGTGAAGAAGG